ATCCCCATCATCAGCAGCAGTAATAGTGATTATAATTTTATAGTAGTACATTTGCGGCAGCAGTAGTAGTAATGTCATAGAAGTGGTAGCAGCAGTAGTAGTAATAGTAGTAGTACTAGTAGTAGTAGCAGCAGCAGCAGCAGCAGTAGCAGCAGCAGCAGCAGCAGAAGCAGCAGCAGCAGCAGTAGTAGTGGGGGTTATAGAAGTTATAGAAGTAGCAGCTTTTACCAAGGTTAATAGTATTAGCGGCGGTATATAGCCATGGTAGTAGTGGAGGTGGTGGTATTAGTAGAGATGATAGAAGTGGTACAGTGTAGCAGTAGCAACAGCAGCAGTAGTAGTAGTAGTAGTAGTAGTAGCAGCAGCAGCAACAACAGTAGTAGTAGCAGCAGCAGCAGTAGTAGCAGCAGCAGCATAGTAGTAGTATTAGTAATTACACAATATTCACATGAGAATCACTGCTGAAAATGAATCTCCCACGTGACCGATGTACTATCTGTAAGCCGGCCGGCCTCGCCGACTGTATACATATAAGCTCAGATTCCCTCATGCCCTTGTATCTATCCAGTGTCTACGTTGTGTTGGCGGTAAGTACGTCCTGTTCTTGTTGACTAGCCTTTAATGAACTCGTTTTATTCTATTATCTTTTGTGTAGAACAATAGTATTTGCTGGGGCTGCAAAAATAATGTCTGTTTAAAAATGTTTAAATGTCGAAGTAACCTTTTTTTTTAGCTGGACAACTTGTTTCGAACAGTTCCTGGTGAGTCAGGTCTCTTCAGTGCCCCCCTACCCTAGTTTTTTTTTTTTAGGTACTTAAGCACTTTAACTTAAGCACTTTTAGCCCTTCAGCTAACAATAAACTTAATAGTTAGGAAAATGATAATTAATATTATTATTTTACGGAATTAAGCAAAGCTTAGTTACCCTTTGAGGCTCCAGTAATTGTTTACTTGTGGGAAGCCAACCTGGGTTTAGCCATGCCTTATTGAACAATAATAATAATAATTATAACACATGTTATTATTATTGTTTTTAGTACTGCACAATAAAACAAGGCTTTGCCCCAGAACATTATTAACAGTAGCGTTCGGGACATATGATGCTAAACGCCTGCGAATAGAATTTATAATCAGATAAGATACTCTTTACTGGCACCAAGAAGGAGGGCGGGGCAGACCAGCACGAAGATGGGCACATAATATAAGTGATTCCTTAAATATGTACACGAGTTTACGAGGCGGGAGAGCTGGCGAGAGACAGTGTCTCTTTCAGGCAGACCGTGATGAGAGCGCGGTTCTGCAAAGGACCTGCTACATGATGATGATGACTATGAGGTAAAATGACTGTCGATTTCTTGGGGCAAATGCGCGCGCACACACATAGGACATGTTGATATATGTATCATAGCTGGAACAGTAGCCAAAAAAAAAAAAAAATTACAGAAAACAAAGCCACATCAACAGAAAGCGAGGGGTCCACAGAAGACAACAAAGGAACACCAACAAACAAACAACCAATTGAGGACAAAGCCACAATAGAAAAACAAAGTTTCACAACAACCATAATAGATACGATAAAAGAACGAAAACAAAGGGTAAGAAGTCAATAACAAATAACAGTCACAAGAACCGACAGCAAATCACTTGTGGTGTACACACCTATTTTTTCCTTTCGTTCATGTTTTTGAAAACAAAGAGCTCCTGCCAACAAGTCTGTGTAGCTACCGGCCAAGGAAGCGTGCTAGCGGGAAGAAGGAAACAGAAAAAACACAAGAAGTGGAGAGATCAGGAAAGAAAACTGTAGCAAGGACACAAAAAAGTAGTATTTCCCCTTTGAACAGCAAAAACAGAAAAGTATAGAAAAGACAAGGGTTCTTTTTGTGCAGGGGCCATGAAAAAAAAGCATAAAACCCCAAGCAAAGGATAAGCGAATAATTGTATTGCACAACTACAACTGACTACAACTACGTATTAATACATAGGCAAGGCTTAGTAAGACCACGTGCACTAACTACAAGTTAATTCTTAAATCAAACAAATGAATATAATAATCACATTCAACACCTGTTTATTTTCATGAAGACAAAACTCCCGTGGTTCACAAATAACACTACATTAACAACTATAGGCGTGTTCCACCTGACCATGTGCTACGTACTCACTTAAATAGGAAATAGGATAATGAACGCATACGTTCAGAAAAATTACATCAGTCATGGCAAAAATCGAAACATATTAACATGCGAACTAAGCTTCAACATACCACTAGATCAGTAAATCTCCTCCAGCGACCTGCAATCGAACTATCTCCGAGCGAGGATACACACTACTATCTAGGTCTAAAACGTGGTCTAATTACAGATGGAAATCTATATCTAGCACCGAAACTAACCAATGAGTAGTGCCGAAACCGTGAAGTAGCCACTCCAAGACTTTCCAACTCACCAGCCTGGATGCCATGTTGCGTTAACAAGTCATGAACGACTGTGTTACGGCGATACGTGGCTAACGAGGTCGGAGAGCTCAAAAGAGGCCCTGTCTGGCTAGACAAGCCCTTTTATCAACTTCTGATCACACCACTGGCCAGATTTTTAGTCCGTGAGTGTAGTCGGACCAAAATTTACAAATCTTCTTGAGCACCCTGACACATAAGAAAACATGGTCAAATGCAACTACTTTTGTTTTTGATGTGTGTGAAGGGCTGCAGAATAGACAAGATAGATTTTGTAGTGGCTCTTGCTGTTGAGGATGTCTACTGTAGAGTCAGATATGATATTTTGAAATCTGCGCTCATTGAGAAGGAGGTATCACCCTGGCTGGTAAACGGGACACTATCTGTCCTGCATTCACGCATGGTCGTCCTCCACCTGGGTACATGGACCTTAGAACCAGGAATTATGGCTTCGGAACAACCGCAGGGTTCGGCAATTTCACCAGTACTTTTCAGTGTGTACAAGCAATTTTAGAACTTGAAGCACCAGGGGTTGGAGGGACACTGAAGTTTGCAGATAATGTTCTTGCATATAGACAAGGAAGTGATAGGAAACGACAGCACAAGAGCCACAAGCAACTGTAGACAAAGTGACTGACTGATGTGCAGAGATCGGCGCTATCACCAGCTGAGAAAAGGGGGTTATTTTATTGCGCTATCTGGACAAAAGAATTGAAAGATCTAATGTCTCAAGCCTCACAATAATTGGCAGAAACATCAAAAGAGAAAGCAAACTAAGGTACCTGGGTATCATTTTCCATAGAAACCTGTCCTTCAGGAATCATGTGGAGGCAGCTGCGATATAATGTCAAAAAAGGATTCTCTCAAGATTATGGCAGCAATGGACATGGAACAAAGAATGCTGTTCACAATGTTCCAGCATGTGATCCTATCGACCATAGCTTATGGACTTAGAATGTTTACCAGATCAACGTGACCTCTGATGGAACTTGGACTCATACAGAACGAAGCCATCCGGGTAATTCTAGGATGCACAAGAGATACCCCGGTACTATGTATGCGATACATACTTGCACTGCTTACTGTTGTAGATAGACTAAAAGAAGCAGATAGGAGATGGCAAACAGGAGCGCCTCCTGTATGAAGCCCTAGGTAAAGCTAAGGGTCACAGACTGAAAGGAGGAAGATCTTGGATGGCGCAAGTTGGAGACACAATTAGACATATGTGTAGGTTTGATACATTTGGACGAGGAGGAGAGTGCGTCAAAGTGTCCCAGCAAGACTCAGACTTGTATGTAGGGTCCCCTAATCACATTAGGTCGTGAGTGCAGGGGCGGGGCCAGCGGGTGCTGCAGAATCAGAAGTTCAACAAATGATTCATGACGATTCCAGCCCAGGTGATGTGATTGTCTATACAGATGTCTTTGTGTTAAGAGGTAGACAAAGTGCATGAGGGTACATAGCAAAAGCGAATGGTCGTCTCTTAGTTACAGCGAACGACGTCTAGGGGGCAATCATTTCGCTGGATTGAAAATCAGCTATATGTTGAAAAATGTGGAGACAGACATGTCCCGTGCAGAGTGGCAAGCATTACTGCAGAGATCCCGGGTAGCTAGCGTCCTGTGGATATTTTCTCCAAGTAATGCTGGTGTGTTGGGAAACGAGCAGTCAGATAGTCTGTCCGTTTCTGCACCACTTGGTGGTTAATTGATTCATGAAGTAAGGGCCATGTTCAGAGTAAGTAAACAGTGCGGAAGCGCAAATAGATCATTACGGGTTGCAAGGAGTTACAAGGATATCTGGGCGACGCTTAACACTCAAGGAAAAGTCGAGACGGATGTACAGTCAAACAGTTACTGGTACCATTGGAATGGGGCACTCTTCGCTTGCTGTTGAAGATGGGAACAGAGCGCTTATGGAAGTGTCTCGAGTGCTATGACGTTGATTCTTAATTCAACATTTAACAGCTTCAACATTCCTTTCCTTTAAGTTCTTTCTAGTTTATTCCTTTCACTAACACTGTATTTTGTCTATTTTAATCAATCAATCATTAATTATTTTACTATTCTAATCAATAATGCGGGGAGATGCACTTCAACTTCAAAGATGCCCCTCCTCCCCATTAAGTCGCCTGTTACGACATGTTTGTTGCGGAGGCACTGGGTCTATTCCTGTTTTCCTTTACAATGGGAACCCGGAACCCACATGGGGGAGTAGTAGTGTTTGTAGTTACTAGAAGTAGTTCTAGTAGTAAGTAGTAATAGTGATAATATTGAGTAGTAATAGCAACCGTATCGTCTAGAACAAATCATGAGGGTAGGTAGAGGCGGGGGGGGGGGGTGGGGGGGGGGGGGGGGAATCCCCCTTACAATATTCGAACATTTTTCTCTCACCGAATGTTAGTCGCTTGTTGTGCGCTTCTGGTAGGGTTTAAGGTCACTAATTCACTCAAGACTTACACACAAGTGATGCATTTGTATTATCACTGAAATATGTATTTAATTCAGCAGTTTCTGTTCCCAGATTATTTGTTTGTTTTACTTATAAAATGGATCCCTCTTTCCTCGGAGTCTGGCAAGTGGACCAGTCGAAGACTATAGGTCTGGAAGACTTCGCCAAAGTTATGGGTGAGTTTCAGTAAAGACTTTACCTCAATTGTACATCTATGCTTTTTGCTAAAGTTGTCAGTCTCTTTTATCATGAAAGGTAAAGTTCTCTTCTTAAAGTATTCTGTGTGCATGTTCGTGCATTTCACCTTTCTTCCAAATGTGTTATTAAATTCATTTGCCATCCAGGACAGTATTATTATTTATTTACCTAAAAAAAAAAAAAAAAGTCTGAAACCCTTTGTGACTCTTCCCATAGAAAATATTTAAGCGCGTTTTAGACCCCCCCCCCCCCCCCCCCCCCCCCCCACCTTCTTCCTTTTTCCACCTCAACTTCTCATAGTAGGTTTACTTCGGCCCCACTGCTAACCATCCCCTAACCTTTCTGTTAGAAACGACATCGTCCAAAGCTTTTTCTAAACCATGTTAGTGTTTAAATACCACAAGTGCTGCAGCTTACCAGCCATGATGCCACGTATGAGCAGATTTTCTTAGAAGCTCAGATCTTCACAGATTTATTATAATGACTAAATTAGCCAAGGTCGAGATGCCACTAGGATGAAAAAGGTACACAAAGCGCGTTGGCGACGGCCTAATTTATCATCAAGTCTGGAGAATTGGTCGGTGTCTGTGGCTTAGACGTGGCCAAAGAGCTTCGTAATTACGAGCTATCTGGTTGTATTCCAGCTGCAGGGAATTTGGCAGAAGACCGCCTGGTGTTGATTTCAACAATGATATCGACAGTCGACAGTGCAGATAGCAATGGCAAACAGCTGAATGTAAAATCGCCTGATAAAACTTAACAGTGAAAAACAAATGGGGTTGGTTCTGCAACATAATGGACGCAACTAAATTGAGTTGAGAATACATATGGCGGAAAAAGAGAAGCGCATTTTTGACATGGGAACTACTATTATTATTGTTGAATCACAGGGGACAATATTTCTGCCTTGTGATAAGTGTCACATATCACTCCTGTCACGTGCCTGATTAAGGATTTCTCCTTCAGAACCAACAGCACTCAGAAATAATTATGTTGAGTCGTTTGGCTCGTATTGGTCTAAGAGATGCCCCATGGCCAATATACGCTCAACTTATTTCTGGAGTAGGGCAACTCAAGTTTTGACACTACAAAATATATCAGTATATGAATACAATATTCCTAGGCACACTTGGCTGGACACCCCTACTACTATTAAAAGAAAGCTCCCAGGTTATGATAGTTTATTATCATAACCATGTTAACACATATAATATTTATGACACATACACACAACAATGCTAAACACTTAGAAAGGTGAAATAGAGACACCTAAGTCAGCCATGAAAATGAATGCATGTAATCAATACAACATATATATGCATATAATAGTGAAGCAGATGCCAGATCTCAGTGGCTGGATCCCAGAATACAATGACCAGAATCACCAGAATTCTAAACAGCCAAAAAGTCCTGGAGGTAACACCTTTTCATCCCTAGAATACATTGGAGCTGTGGGGAATATAGCATGATATAGACATAACTGGACTTATCCTAGTTCTGCTGTTGATGCTTCCCTCAGCTCCTGGTGATTCGACTGTCTATGACCCTGGTACTTCTGCTTCCAATGGATCAGGTAGTCCTCACCATCGAGGACACAGACACAGTATAAGTACTCAGCACGTCTTTCCCACCAGTCAAGTCACAGCCTATTTCTGAGCTCCACCAAGCTCCTGGAGACTGGTCTACTCGAGTATAGATATACTCTCTATAAATGTTCACCTGCCCTGAAGTCACTCACATGTTCTGGCACTGTTAGGATATTTGGGGTATATGGCACCCCATACTGATGATGTTAGGAATCTTCACAGGTGTTAGCTGGTGGGTAGTTGTTGATAGGTTAGTTGGTAATTGGTTGGTGGGTGTTGGTTGGACTGTGATTTTTCTGCCAGCTCTTCACAAAGGTTTCATCCTGTCAGGAAAGAACTCAGAATTAGTCATCACAAAGAGGGTATCATCTTGACAGGAAAGACAGAATAAGCATCAGTCACCATCCCACATCAGCCTACCCCACCTCTGCTCCTCTGTTTCATTCCTCAGAGTGCACTTTCAAGACCAGGAGACAATGTCTCCTATCATTCATCTGTCTGTTTAGTGCAAGAGATGGAAAGTCAGATATATAGTGGAGATAGATAGACACTCTCACACATATATCAATCTCTCTCCCCCCTCCCATCTGCACACAGACACCAATTTTTACCGTCAGTATCTCTATTCCCTACGACTCTCAGGCCAGTTCCACACATCCATTGATCTGGGTCAAACACACTCAACGCAGCTCTGGCTGCCCAAGTACTGACCTAAATTCTCTGTCCCCATTCGTATGCACAAACTTCTGTTGTTAGTTTAAATGGTACACACTTGTAAGGTCATTATTTTTATCAGTATGTGTGGGTTATTTAGGGCATAGGCTATTTAGTCTGTACAGAAGAAGGTCTAAGTTCGAATCCGCTTCTCTAGAGATCAAGAACGGTCGAACTATGTGTGATCCCATAACCGATTCTGGTCTCTCTACAGCAGTGACCACTTTAACAGACATCATTTAAGGTACTCTTAAACTATAATTAACTTACCCAAGCATAGGAAAGGTCCTCGACACTACAGGCCGCCTTCTGAAAGTGAAATTTGCTGGCGTCGATGCATACATCTGAACGCTAGGAAAGCTAGCAGAAACAATGCCGCAAAAATTCCAGTCAGGCGTCGGTAAGAAGAAGTTCCTTGTATACTTGAGCAAGGAGTAAACCGGTTTCTAAGAATGGTCAAATAACTCCAGCAATATTTATCATACAGTTGCAAATTTGAAAATGACGTTAAGTCAAAGCAACTGGAAGATGTAGGTATCATAATTCTCTCCGATCAAGGCATATATCGATATAAGGGACTATTACCTTTCCGGACGAGTCCAAGTTTGAAAGTTTTGTCGAGCACAGGTAATACAGGTCCCGACTCTTTTAGGGGTGATGTGTAATGGCTTGTCATTCCTTGACAATAAGAAACTTGCTTTAACAAAAGATGCGTAACCTTTACAGCTATATTCTTGAGCCTGCAGAAGAGGTATTAGCGCCCCGCCCCCTCCCAACCAACCCCCCCCCCCTCTCAGCCCAGTAGTTGGGGAAAGGAGGATTAATCTCCCCCTCCCGTCATTGTTTTTTCGTGGCAGCGAGAATTTTGCAGCGTTTTATCTCTCAGAAACAACGCTTCAGTGTCGTGTTCAAGATTTTTTAAGCTCTCAGCAGCAGATGGAGTATTTGCTAGAAATGACAAATTATAAATGAGATCTTTTTTTTTTTTATTTTGCTTTAGTCGTAAGTAGGTCCGCGAAATATTTTTCGTGTTTTCCCAATCCGTTTGCCTCTCGTCTCTACTCCTGGAATGCCTCGCAGCTTCAGAAAGAACACGCCTATGTTTTCGATTTGTATATAACATTTTTGGAGTGTTTTTGATATTGCTGCAGTCCATATTCTGCGTGGTCGACCTCTGGGTCTGTTATAGCTGTATCCGAATAACATTGATGTCCGTGGTGCCCTGTTTGTTTGAAGCCAATTTTGTTACGTGACCAAACCGTCTACTGATGAGGCTCAGTATCGGTCACGTGCCGACGCCCCTCCTCATATCATCGTTCCTTAGTCGATCTTTCCTCGTTACATCTAGCATAAGATGTCAACATTTCCTTTCTGTAATGAATAGTTTTTATCTGACTTCTAAAGACGATGTCCATGTTTGGCACTGATAGCATTGCGTTGGTGAGAATTTTACTGTCCTTTTCATAAAAGAAGGTACATGAGATCCTTGAATAAGCCACTGTTGATTTGCTGAGATAAGCCACTGTTGATTTGCTGGATAAGTCACATCGTTTCCAAACTGTTTCCCGGTCCGCAAGTGCACACAGGTGGGAAATCACCGTTTTACCTTGACGTCAATTTTACGCTGAATAGTTTGCCATTCCTCTCATACAGTTGTCGAAATGAACTCACAACAATCTACTACCAAATCTTCAGCAGCTGACTTGAGCTGGGTTGAAAACCGACATCACATTACTCAGGATATTCCTATAAGTGCTCTGTCCTCTTCTTCAGCAGCCAGAAAAGAGTTCCTATGGTGCCAGGAGCAGTTTGATTATATAAATTCGTCTCGCCTGGCGAGTGTCGACCAAATCCCCAGGTCACTCCTAGCTCTACTATTCTTTCAAGACCATAACGAAATGTTCTTGCCTCCGCGGTATTCACTTGCTTACAAAAGACATTGAAATGATCTAGCTTGGCATGCATAAATTCACCACCCGTAGGTACAAAAATAGCAAGCCTGTCTGCATGCTCATTTCCCAGCACTCCTGCATAGCCGTATAAAATATCAAAAGAACGTTAACCATCCAGGACTTTGGACACGATACTTGCCACTCTCCATGATCATGCCTGTCTCCACCTCTGTTAACATTCTATCTGAATCGGCTACTTTGCCTGTACAACTGGTTCTCAAGTTGACTTTAGAGCTTGGTATGCTGCAGACACAACCAAGAAACTTTGTCATGAAACTAAAAACTAGAGAGAAACATTCATTACATGAAAAGGAATGCAATCTATCGTCGACATAAGACAAGACTACACGAGCTAGCTTGTATTAGGGAGAAGTTGTGAGACACATTAACTTAGCCGGACGTATTTATTTAAGTTTCAAGTACCGCCAAGATGGTCATAGCGAATCAGGAACTAAAACAAAATACTTGATCTAACGACTTTTGTTAGTTGTATGTGATAGTTTAACATGGGTTCTCAAATTGTCCCAGTTAGTGGTTGCCAAATAGCTTTGAGTTGGGAATCTCTCTTACTTGTTTATGGTCTCAGTCTCCGTGTGGGCTCTAGGGCCCCATTTATTGGGGGTGTAGGGATGGCTGGACCAACTGCATCCAACAAGCATGTCGTAAGAGGTGACAAATTAAGGTTTTGCTGAAAATGGATGCATTTCGCCGTAAGTACCCCCAAAG